AAACATAAAGAACATACAAGGACTAGGTGGTCGCAAAAGTATTTTGTTCAGCGATTTATGCATGTTCCCTCACATCCATTTGCCATCACGGTTCAAGACCCCAAAATTCGAGAAGTATGACGGACATGGCGACCCTATCGCCTACTTGAAAAGGTACTGCAACTAGCTGAGGGGTGCAGGTGGAAAAGAAGAATTGTTGATGGCTTATTTTGGGGAAAGTCTTGTGGGGGTAGCCTCCGAATGGTTCATTGACCAAGATATATCTCACTGGTATGTCTGGGATGACATGGCCCAAGCCTTCATCAAACAATTCCAATACAACATTGATATTGCACCAAATCATAATTTCCCGTCCAATATGAAGAAAAAGCCGACCGAAAGCTTTAGGGAATATGCCATAAAGTGGAGGGAGCAAGCAGCTAGGGTTAAGCCACCCATGGATAACCACGAGTTGATCGCTGTTTTTCTGGAGGCTCAAGAGCCTGATTACTTTCAGAACATGATGTCCGCGATGGGTAGACCTTTTGCAGAAGCAATTAAGATAGGGAAGATGGTCAAAAATGGCCTCAAGACTGGCAGAATTGTAAGTCAAGTTGCTCTCAAAGCCACCACCCAAGCTATCCAAAATGGGTCGGGAAGTTTGGCAAATAGAAAAAAGAGAGATGAAGGGTCCATGATGACTTCAGGATCCAGGGAAGTTCAAAGAGGGGCATCGCACCCTTATGTGCAAGTTCAGCATGGGCAATCCTCAACGCTAATTCCTCAGTACTCTGTGGACCCGCCACAACATACAATGTTTAACGCTCAATCCTATGATCGGCCTCCCACTCAACAGGTACGGGTATCAGCTCCAAGATTCCCCCAACCTCAGCAGCAAAATTTTCGGGCACCCTACAATACTCCTCCTAGGCAAGATTATGGTCGAGAGCAGAGGCCAGTGGAAAAATTTAGTCCATTGGCTGAATCATACTCTAGTCTGTTCCAGAAGTTGAAGCAGATGGGCGTGATTAGATCTATTGCTCCCTACCGTATGCATCCTGATTCACATGGATTTCAAGCAAATTCTAGATGTGAATATCATTCAGGTGCTCCGGAGCATAGCATTGATGATTGTTGGACCCTAAAAAGAACCATAGAAAGACTCATTGCTGAACAATTGATTGTATTCACGAATGGCGAGGACCCTCCTAATGTGACCAATAACCCGTTACAGTACACAATGATGTTTATTTTGTGGGAATGATTGGCCGAGATCAAGAATACAAGCCGGTTGGTCAAGAACAAATGACAGCGGGAACGATTCAAGAGAGAATCAAACTGGAAGTAAGTCCAAGACAAGATGTGTCATTGATTGTAAAAGGCGCTCCGAGCTTAGAAAAGGCAACTTTATTTGTTCCCAATGTCTCAAGGTTGGAAGTTCGCTCCAATGTTCCAAGTCCAAGGTTGTATGTCCTTGGAGGCCACCTCATCACAAGGCAGAACCAGGGTGGTACGAGCGGTATAACAGAGCCGATCATAATCAAGCCTGCCATACAACCCTATGTGACAAACACGAAAACCATTCTCTGGAACTATAACAAAATTGTGGTGACCTACAAAGGCAAGGAAATCATAGAAGATGTGGGGTAAACTGGAGGTTTGACTCTATCAGGGAGGTGTTACTCTCCAGAAGAGTTGAGAAAGGCCAAGAAAATCATAGAAGGCCAAACGCCAATAAAGAAACTAGTCACTGAAGAAGAGGCGGAAGAGTTTTTGAAAAAGATGAAAGTTCAGGATTACTCAATCATTGACCAGTTGAGAAAGACTACTGCTCAAATCTCTCTGTTATCTCTGCTCATACACTCAGAAGAGCATGCCCGTGTACTAATCAAGATCCTGAACGAGGCACATGTCTCAGAGAAGACCACCATGAATCAGTTAGAGAAGGTGGCCAACAAATTTTTCGAGGTGAACAGAATCTCCTTTACTGATGATGAACTTCCAGATGAGTGAGTCGGGCACAATAGGGCTTTGCACCTAATTGTCAAATGTGAGGGGCATTATGTAAAGCGAGTCATGGTTGATGGAGGCTCGAGTGTAGATGTATGCCCTCTCTCTACCTTGCAAAGTATGAAGATCAATACAAACAGAATCCGACCCAATAATATTCGCATCCGGGCTTTTAATGGCCCAGCGAGAGATACCATTGGGGAGATCAACCTCACCATGACGATTGAGCCGGTCGATTTTGAAATTGTGTTCCAAGTAGTGGACATGGAATCTTCTTATAATTTTTTTCTTGGAAGTCCATGGATCCATACGGCTCGAGCTGTTCCATCCACCTTGTATCAGATGCTCAAGTTCGAACATGACAGGCAAGAGATTATTGTTCACGGAGAAGACGAATTATCCATTTATAAAGATCCGTTAATTTTGTGTATTGAGACCAAGGAAGGGTGCGAGTCCATTGTCTATCAGTCTTTCAAAGTGGTTGTTGTAGACCACATTGAGGAAGGAAAGCCCATTTTTCATCCTCGTCTTTCCTCCACATCTGTAATGGTGGCTGCACTTATGCTGAGATAAGGTTATGAGCCAGGAAAAGGCTTGGGGGCATCATTCTAAGGAATTTTGGAATCCATCTCTCCCTTTAGAAACAAGGGTAACTTTGGCTTAGGTTTCAGGCCAACACAAGCAGATGAAGATAAAGCTAAGCACCGCAAAAAGCATGGTTGGGTCTTATAGCGGCCCATCACTCACATTTTGTACACTTTTGTCAAGCCACGGCTCCAAGAGGCTCAAAATTCCTCGGCGCATGCAAACATTGATGAAATTTGCCATGGACTCAGCCACATGGTTTCTGAAGTGAATATGATCCAGGCTGGTAAAGGCACTAGCCGTGCCGATGTGAAACCAATTAATGCTCAACAAATGGGAAGCAACTCCTCTCCCCACAAGGAAAGAGTCGTGGTAGTTTGATTTAGCAACTTCTTTTTATATTTGGGTTACTTTCAGGGTTGTAATCCAAGCATCTCAATATGATTATTTTGTTTTGATGTTAACCCTTCTATCCTTTCAAATTCAATGAAATGCTGTTCAATTTCTTATTGTATCTTTTCCTTTTCCTAAATCTTGTTATTTTGTTTCCATTTTAGTTTTGTTAATGCCGGCTTTAATAACATGACATGTATGCAGAATTCACGCCCAAATCTTAAAAAGCTGTCTAATTTTGAAATAATGCATCAAGAGGTCGAATATGATGAAAATAAGGCCGTTGAGAAAATAAAAAGAGAGTTGGAACAATTTGAAAACAAGCCTAGGCCCAACCTCAATGAAACTGAGCCAATTAATATCGGAGGTCATGAAAAAGTCAGAGAAACAAAGATAAGCATTCACGCTGAACAAGAAACTAGATATGCCTTTATTCAAATTTTATTTGAATACAGAGATGTGTTTGCTTGGTCTTATGATGATATGCCGGGTTTAAGTGTCGATTTAGTGGTTCATAAGCTTCCCACGTATCCTGATTTTCTACCAGTCCAACAGAAGCAACGGAAATTTAAAATGGACATGAGTGATAAAATCAAAGAGGAAATAATGAAGCAACTGAGAGCCAATATAGTTAAAGTCGTACGATACACCACCTGGGTGGCAAATGTTGTGCATGTGCCAAAGAAGGATGGAAAAACCAGAGTCTGTGTTGATTACAAGGACCTGAACAAAGCAAGTCCAAAGGATAATTTTTCTTTACCAAACATCCACATACTTGTAGATAATTGCGCTAAGCATGAGATACAATCTTTTGTGGATTGCTATGCTGGATACCACCAGATTCTAATGCATGAGGATGATGCAGAAAAGACCGTTTTCACCACTCCATGGGGTACCTATTGTTAAGGGTTATGCCATTCGGTTTAAAGAATACGGGGGCAACTTACATGAGGGCCATGACCACCATTTTGCATGACATGATGCACAAAGAGATTGAAGTATATATTGATGATGTCATCATAAAATCAAAGACATATGCTGATCACGTGCGCGATTTGAAAAAGTTTTTCGAATGGCTTCAAAGGTATGACCTTAAGCTCAATCCATCCAAGTGTGCATTTGGGGTGCCATCTGGGAAACGCCTCGGTTTTATAGTCAGCCGGAGATGCATTGAATTGGATCTATCTAAGATAAATTCCATTCAAGATCTGCCACCCCCGAAGAACAAAATTGAAGTCATGAGTTTGCTCGGGAGATTGAACTACATCAGTAGGTTCATTTCTCAGCTCACAAACACATGCGAGCCCATCTTTAAGTTGCTGAAAAAGGATGTTGCTATCAAGTGGACGGACGATTGCCAAAAAACTTTTGACAGGATCAAAGATTATATGTCAAAACCCCTTGTACTGGTCCCACCAGAGCCTGGTAGGCCTTTGTTTTTATATCTAACGGAGATGGATAATTCCTTTGGATGCGTTTTGGGGCAACATGATGCGACAGGCAAAAAGGAACATGCAATCTATTATCTGAGCAAGATGTTCATCAATTATGAGGTTAAGTATACCCTTTTAGAAAGAACATGTTGTGCTTTGACTTGGGTCGCTCAGAAGCTGAGGCATTATCTCCTGGCCTACACTACTTACCTCATATCTAGAATGGATCCTTTGAAGTACATCTTTCAAAAGCCAATGCCCACTGGAAGGCTCGCAAAATGGCAGATTCTGCTCACAGAGTTCGACATCGTCTATATCACTCGCACCGCAATGAAAGCACAGGCTTTGGCAGATCATTTGGCAGAGAATCCACTAAGCACATACTTCCCAGATGAAGAGGTCAACTCAATAGAGGAAGTAGTTTCGGATGACATCCGTATATGGAAAATGTATTTTGATGGGGCTGTCAATATCAAAGGAGTTGGGATCTGGGCAATCCTTATCTCACCTATTGGACAACATTATCCTGCAATGGCCCGACTTCGTTTCTTCTGTACCAATAATACAATGGAATACGAGGCTTGTATAATGGGTCTAAAAATGGCCCTCAATCTGGATGTGCATGAACTATTGGTTATGGGAGATTCCGACTTGCTTATCCGGCAAGCCAAAGGTGAATGGGAGACTCGAGACATCAAGCTTATTCCATACAGACAATGTGTACAAGACCTGAGCAAGAGATTAAAATCCATCGAATTCAGGTACATTCCCAGGTCTCACAATGTGCTAGCCGACGCCTTGGCTACCTTAGCCTCGATACTCCCTTATCCAGGCAATATCCATATTGATCCACTGCAAATCCAAATTCAGAATCAATACGGCTACTGCAATACTATTGAGACAGAACCATATGGTAAACCTTGGTACCGTGATATAAAACGATTCCTGAAAATAAGGGAATACCCAGAGCATGCCAAGGGAGATCAAAAAAGAACTATAAGGCGGCTCGCCGGCAGTTTCTTCCTCAATGGGGAAATTTTGTACAAAAGGACCCTAGATTTGAACTTATTGAGATGCATAGATGCCACAAAAACTGAGCGGATCATAAGCAAAGTACATTCGGGTGTATGCGGACCTCACATGAATGGATATGTTTTGGCGAAGAAGATTCTTCGAGCAGGGTATTATTGGCTTACTATGGAGCGAGATTTCTTTAGTTTCGTTCGCAAGTGTCACCAATGCCAGATTCATGGCAACCTGATTCACTCGCCTCATTCGGTGTTGCATCCCATGTCCTCTTCTTAGCCTTTCGTTACTTGGGGAATGGATGTTATTGGGCCAATCGAGCCAAAGGCTTCAAATGGGCATAGATTCATTCTGGTCGCCATTAATTACTTCACCAAGTGGGTGGAGGAAGTTACTTTCAAGGTAGTCACCAAGAAATGAGTGGTAGATTTTGTTCATTCCAACATCATCTGTCGCTTTGGTATCCCAAAGACCATTGTCACTGACAATGCAGCCAATCTAAATAGTCATCTGATGAAGGAAGTATGCGAGCAATTTAAAATTGTGCATCGCCATTCTACCCCCCTACCGGCCTAAAGCTAATGGAGTCGTTGAAGCAGCTAACAAGAATATCAAGAAGATCCTTAGGAAGATGATCTAAGGGTCCAATCAATGGTATGAAAAGTTGCCTTTTGCTATTTTGGGATACCGCACGACTGCTCGCACATCTGTGGGTGCAACTCCTTATCTGTTGGTTTATGGAACTGAAGCTGTAATACTGACTGAAGTTGAAATTCTCTATCTCCGAATCATTGTGGAATCAGAGATTGAAGACACCGAGTGAGTCAAGACCATATTAGAACAACTAATAATGATTGATGAAAAACGGCTAGCAGCAATGTGTTTTGGCCAATTATACCAGCAAAGAATAGCACGCGCTTATAACAAGAAAGTGCGCTTGAGGCACTTTGAGGTAGGCCAGCTCATTTTAAAACGCATCCTTCCGCACCAAGTAGAAGCTAAAGGAAAGTTCGCCCCAAACTGGCAAGTACCCTACATCATCAAGAAAGTGTTACCAAAAGGGGCTTTGCACTTAGTAGATGAAGAAGGACTGGTACGAGACATGACTATTAATGCAGATGCAGTCAAAAGATATTATGTTTGATACATACCCACTGCAGAACTTTCATGCATCGATTTTCTCAGATCAAGATAACGAAGGCTATCTTTGCTCATTACCCCAAATAGGGGTGGCAACTGGGCCGGGCCTGGTCCTAAGTGGGCCGGTCCTATGCGGTCCGGTCCTAAACGGTCCTGGGCTTCGCGGGCTTATTGCTGGAACCGTCTCGGGACCGGGACCACGAACTAACGGGCCCGGGTTTAGTGGGCCCATTCCGACCCGGTCCCGGGCCCAAACGGGCCCAACAGAAACTTTCTATTTTTAATTTTTTTTTTATAGAAG